AAAAAACTATTTAGGTTAAGTCTGTGGGACTTAATGACCCGATAGATATACACTTGAATCAGCGAATTTCGATCGATATTTTTTGCCGCAAGAACCATCTTTTGGATCACCTATGATTTAACTAAACCTTTTAATATATTAATTAATAATTTATTATCAAAATTAATTGTGCATTTAATAATATTTATTGGAATTAATTAAATCTACAAAGAAACGGTTTTTCAATTTGTTATTATTATTATATTTCTAACTTAGATGATTACAAATTATTTGGATCCTGATATAATGATAGACACCATAGCGTGAAATAATTATTATCGCATTTTGACACCAATAATAATGCTATTCGATTTTACGGGGAACATTGCGGGATTTAAAATAATTTCGTATGGTGAAAAAACGGAAAATGTAAGCAAGATCTTAAAAATCTTTCTCTTTGCAACTAGCATTGTTGATAATTTGGCTTTTGCTGGATTCTTATTAAAAAATTTACAAAATGAATCCCATTTTCGAATATCGTTGAAACTAGTGTTGCGTAATGGGCTAAAACCTACGCCTAAGCCTAATTAGGCTTAGCCGAAAAATATGCTGAAACTTAATTAGTCAAATATTATGTATCGTCTAATCGTCCGTCAGCGTTCCGTAAGATATGCCTAGCATTAATTGTTATTTATTCATTTTTAGTAAAATAATTTATTTTAATATTTTATTATTATTATCAACAAAAAACATATGATTAGATTTAATTTTTTTTTATTTTATATTATATTTAGAAATGAAATTGAAATATGTTTATATTATATTATGAAAATGGATTTATTTATTTATTTGATGCTTTTTTAATAAAAAAAATGATATGCTGCTATTGTTTGTTACAATTTATTAGTGATTTTCACACCCAAAGTTAAGCAAAAATATTTTTTAAGTTCAAAAAGATTATATTTTGATTTGATAAGAATTTTAAATCTTCTTTATAAATAAATCTTGAGGAATTCTTTCGTGATCTTTTATAGTTTTTTTTAATCATTTTTGCAAAATTTTCTAACAAGTTAAAATAAATCTCCAGTAAAGATGTGCCCTAGATAAATGACAATTGTTATAATTGTTATTTTTAAAGTTTGTTGAATTTTTCTGATAGTAATATCTTTGCATATTTTTATCATATTTTAAGCAGGATAAAAGGGACAAAAATTATAAACATGAAAATTGCCTTTTGTTTCGCCAAATGCTACAAACACATTTCTCAAAAAAATAAAAAAGTTAACGAATATTGTGATAATTGGCACTTTTCTGAATTATTTCAATAAAATTTAAACAAAATAACTTTTTTTGAATTAATCAAAAATTTTTTGTAAAACTTTAAAAATAACTATTATGACAATTGTCACTTTTCTATGGTACATCTTCATGAAATTTTAATTTAACATGTTTACAATCTATATTTTAACCTGTTTGCGTCAAAAAAATTTAAAAACTTTAAAAATAAGGGTTGTGATAATTGCCATTTTCTATGGTTTATCTTCATGATATTTTAATTGAACAAGTTAATAATTCATATTTTAACCCATTTGCTTCAAAAAATTTTAAAAGTAACGATTAAGATAATTGTCAATGCTACATCTTCATGAATTTCAATTTAACATGTTTACAATCTATATATTTACCCATTTGGGTCAAAAAAATTAAAAAAACTGACCACTTATCTATGATAATCCTCATTGAAATTTTATTTTAACATGTTAGCAATCTAATGTCCATTTGTGTCAAAAAAATTCAAAAATCTTTAAAAATAACGATTATATTGTCACTTTTCTATGCTACATCTTCATGAAATTCTAATTTAACATGTTTACAAATTATATTATTACCCATTTGCGTCAAAAAAATTTAAAAAACTAACAACTATCACTTATCTCTGGTACATCTCCACTGAAATTTTATTTTAACATGTTAGCAATCTATATTTTTGCCCATTTGCGTTAAAAAAATTCAAAAACTTTAAGAATAACGATTATGACAATTACTTTTCTATGGTGCATCTTCATGAAATTTTAATTTACCATGTTTACAATCTATATTTTTACTCATTTGCGTCAAAAAAATTCAAAAAACTTTAAAAATAACGATTAGGACAATTGTCAATACTACATCTTCATGAATTTCAATTTAACATGTTTACAATCTATATTTTCACTGATTTGCGTCAAAAAAAATCAAAAAAATGACAATTGTCACTTATCTATGATACATATCCTTAAAAAAATCATATAAAATAACATAAAAAAGTTTAATATAAATTTTAAAAAAAATTATTTAGAAAAAAATATCTCTTTAAAAAATAGCTAATTTTACAAAAATGATTCTAAAAAAAACTATAAAAGATAAAAGATTATTAATTTATAATAAAATTCATAAAAGAATTCCTCAAAAAAGATTTATTTACAAAGAGGATTTAAAATTATCAAATCAAAATATGTTCAAAAATCGTTTTGAACTTCAAAAATCGTTTTGAACTTCAAAAATCGTTTTGAACTTCAAAAGATTTTTGTAAAAATATAAATTGTAACAAAAATAATATTACAATAGCAGCATATCATCCTTCTTTTTTTTATTAAAAAAACATCAAAGAAATAAATCCATTTTCATAATATAATCATTATTCATTTCATTCATAATATAATAATATAAATAAATAAAAAAATTTTTGTTGATAATTATAAAATATTAACATTAAATATAAATAAAATAAATCATTTTGCTAAAAATAAATAAATGATAATTAATGCTAGGCATAAGGAACGCTGACGGACGTTTAGCCGATGCAGAATTTTTGACTAATTAAGTTTTAGTAGATTTTATATCTAAGCCTTATTAGGCTTTGCCAATTTAGGAACAGCCTAATTAGACTTAGCCGATTTTTTCATCTAAAATCTAGAAAGTTGAGATTGCGATGAAAAAATGATGAAAAAAAATGTCGTTAACTAAATCTGTTTATAAGAAAAAGGTAAAATAATAAAATGTCCGGATATACAATAACTCTTGATGACCTAAAGAGGAAATATTTTTGACGGCCATTTAAAAATATCCATTTTACCTAAGCACTATGAAAAAAATAAAATTAAAATTAGTAATAAAAAGATTGTTGCAAGTTGAAATTAATATGAACACGAATTGAAGATGCCAGTTTAATTTATTAAATATAATCAAAATCATTCATAAATAACATAAATAATCTAAAACGTAAAAATATAAAATTAAACTAAAAAAATTATATTAGTTTTTTTTTCTTTTTCTTCTATATTTATACTATTAAAATTTACATAACCTCGGTAATTATTTTATATAATTGTCCTTTAATTTGCTTATAATTTAAAATTTTCAATTTTATCTTTACAATTTTTGAATTATCTTACAAATTCTATATTCAAATTAACTGTTTCTTAATTATCATTAATTCATACTCGTATTCGACAAAGATGAAATCCATATCAAAACTTACAAAAACTAAATTTAAAAAAGCAAAATAGATGAAAAATATTAATGACTATCTCGCTAGCACCCCCGATTGCATAGCCCAGTATCAACAAACACTCATTTAGTAAAAATAAGATCTAAGCTCTAGATTAGCAAAAAAAGAAATAAACACTTGACTACTTTCAATTAAAATAATATTTAGATGAGCAAAAAATATTTAAAATTCGTATTCACTTTAATTATTAGATATACTTAAAAAAACAATCTTGTCTAAGCTAAATAATGAATATTTCAAATATAAAATATAACTGCCAATGTTTTTGACTAGAAATTGATATTTTTAACAATCATTTTAATACCAATTATTTTTAAACATCAATTTTCTCAGAAAGAATGGCTATCATTCTAAAGCGAGTTTTTTTAGCAGTCATATTAATCGCAGTATAATTAATTTCAACCACCATCTCCATAGAAAATAATTAATTTTTAATACTAAAATCAAACACAGCCATTTTAATACCAAACTTTTATTTTGATTAAAAAATAGTTGTATGAAGCTTGAAATATAACACTAATAATTTTATAGCAGCCATTTTACAATAGTTTCACATGTCGTGAAATGGCTGTTCACGGTAAAGTAAAATGATAGCAGTTGATATTTAAAAATCAATTTTCAACGTTACACCTGCACGGCCCTGATTTTAAATCATACCATTTTAGGCCCATTCCAGACCGAGTCCCAGGCCCTGTTATTAATATAACTTAATATTTTACACGCTTCCCAGGCTCAAGTCTATAGGTGGGAAATATAAAGCAAGCCTTTTATTTTAGGGGGGGGGGGGCTTAATTTTAATTTATATATTCTTATTTTTTACATAGTTTTAAATAGTTATCTTTTAATTTATATTTTAAAAGAAAGTAGGATAGAGCTAGGGGTTAGAAAAAATTTAAAGAATGGATAAAGATGTAAGGAACATTATTTGTTTAGGAGATGTAGATGAAGAAGCTTATAAGGTATTAGCCCCCACTTATTCTAGGGAAAATTATAAAAAAACTATATTTATGGCATATTAAACTTAAAAAAGTAAAATTAATTTTTAAATTTTTTTTTTGAAATACATAGAATAAAATCTCAGAAATGTCGCAGTTTCGAAATATCCGAAATTAGTTAAAAATTAAATAATGGTAGTATTTTGATCTGCTTTACCCGATCCTATCCAAACCCACTAATTAAGATTTAAAATTATAATAAGGGTTTTCATATCAATTTTAAAATATTATTTTATGTAAATTTTGACAACAGTCCAAATGTAAAAAAATAGTCTACATTTGCTTAATTTTAAATTATTAAATAACTCCATAGCTCTTATAAATTTAAAAAATATTTAACTCTCTCATATATATATATATATAACTGGATATATTATAATTAAATTTAACAAATTCGTGCGTTGTTGATACCTTATTTAGTTGATTATTTGTTGGCACTGGCTATTGTTGAGCATTAGTTTTTCTTAAAACTTTGTTTGTAGCTATCCATTAAGCATGGTACGAACTTTTGAAGATGAGAAAAAGTTTATGGAAAAAATAAATGCTAATACCTGGAAAATTAAGCAAGGATTTGTGCCTAATATGAAGGTATTTGGATAATATTATATATAATTTATAGATTTATATTTAGGTAGAAGGCATTTTCTATATAAATGATTATTTAGAAAGGTTAATGTTTGATGAATTACTTCAACATTGTAAATATGGTGGTACTGGAGGATTTTTACCTGCAGTTAAACAAATAGCGAATGTCGCTGCTCTTCCTGGAATTGTTGGAGTAAATCAATAATAAAAATAAAAAAAATATATATTAAATAGCATTCCATAGGATTACCAGATATTCATTCTGGATATGGCTTTGCTATAGGTTTATTTAAAATATGTGATAAATTATTTAAAAGGATATAGGTAATATGGCTGCATTTGACATTAATGATCCACAATCAATTGTCTCACCTGGTATTTAAAATATGTTTAGCTTAAAAAAATAATTAATACAAGGTGGAGTTGGCTTTGATATTGCTTGCGGTGTTAGATTATTAAGAACAAATTTAACCTTAAAAGATGTCCTACCTGTCAAAGAAAAACTAGCTCAAAGTTTATTTGATCATATTCCAGTTGGTGTGGGATCAAAAGGTATCATTCCAATGAATGCAAGGTTTACTATTATCACATCTTTTAAAAGTATTTTTTATATTAAGGTCATTTTCAATTTTATATGAAATTAGTTTATATTGTTTTAACCTTTACAATTAATTTTTCAAATTTATTATTGAAAAATTTTACAAAGGGATTTAGAAGAAGCTCTAGAAATGGGAATGGATTGGTCATTGAGAGAAGGTAGACCATATATTTATTTTATAGAAAAATTTCTAACAATAAACAGTCCCATAGCCATAATTTCAAATTGGAGGGAGGGATCTTTTTTTTAAAAAATTGTATTAGTGGAATAACTAAGAGAGAAGGAGTCTAGGTATTTCTAACACGGGGATGCAAGATCTTCATTGAAATAAAATGGGTGGACAAAATATAGGAGATATAACAGCAAATTCTAATTAAATTTCCTTTTTTGCCAATTCTTAAATTAGTGTGAGAGGTTAATATTGTCATTGGCTAAGAGGGGTATAGAAATACCTGGATAGAAGTTTCTTTATTTATTTCCCCATATATGTAGTGTTGTTAAACGACTCAGTCGAGTCGGCTTAACTACGACTCAAGTTGAGTTTTTAGTCAAAAAAATCGTCTCATTTTTACGACTCGAGCTATGAACTTGATACAAACTCAAGTTATGAACTTGAGTCTTATACTCAATAAATAGTTTATTAAATTTTATGAAACTCAATTGATTATAATTGGTTAATTGTGTAAAACCCACATTCGTGGCTGACTAAACTAGCAATGAGCACAAACCATAAGCACAACCAATATATTTTAAGTTGTTTTTTCTTGACCTTATTAAGGTATATAAATATATGATTATTAGATACATCAATCGATAGCTAATTAGAACTATTGAATAATTAGCTAACCAAGCACCACCTTTCTATGGCAATTACTACGTAGGTTAGGATTATTATCTGCACCAAATATTGATATGATGGATTGGTATCAAATAAGCCTAGTTCTACCTAAATATGGTGTATATACGTTTGACTTGGGAGGGGGGTAAAAAAATATGGTTACTCGTAGTGTTGTTAATCGACTAAATTTAGTCGGACTAACTAATAGTTTTAGTCAAACAATTCGACTAAAAACTTTAGCGACTAAATTAGTCGATTAGTCGACTAATTTGGTCGACTAAAACGACTAATTAGTCGACTAAAAACGACTAATAAGTCGACTAAAAACGACTAATAAGTCGACTAAAACGACTAATTTAGTCGACTAAAACAACTAATTTAGTCGACTAATCAGAGAAGATAAACAAAAAGAAGTAAAGTGAGAATTTGTCATTAAAATAACTATATGAGTTATATATAAGTTATTTTTAATATATTTTTTTTTGAATTTCTTTTTCTTTGAAGGAACAGGTTAAAATTTTAAATTGTTATTTTTGAACTTTTTTAAAATTATTTTAAAGCAAGGTATAAATATATATTGCATACATGCTATATTAAAATTTCAGTGAAGATGTACCATAGAAAAGTGACAATTGTCATAATCGTCATTTATAGGTTTTTTTGAAGCAAATGGGTAAAAATATATATTGTAAACATGTTAAAATAAAATTTAAGCGAAGATGCACCATAGAAAAGTGACAATTGTCATAATTGTCATTTATAAGTTTTTTGAAATTTTTTCTAAGCAAATAGGTAAAAATATATACTGTAAACATGTTAAAATAAAATTTAAGCGAAGATGTACCATAGAAAAGTGACAATTCTCATAATCGTCATTTTTAAGTTTTTTTGAAATTTTTTGAAGCAAATGGATAAAAATATATATTGTAAACATGTTATATTTAAATTTCAGTGAAGATGTATCATAGAAAAGTGACAATTGTCATAATCGTCATTTTTAAGTTTTTTTGGAATTTTTTGAAGCATATGGGTAAAAATATATATTGGAAACATGTTATATTTAAATTTCAGTGAAGATGTACCATAGAAAAGTGACAATTGTCATAATCGTCATTTTTAAGTTTTTTTGAAATTTTTAGATAAAAATATATATTGTAAACATGTTATATTTAAATTTCAGTCAAGATAGAAAAGTGATAATTGTCATAATCGTCATTTTTAAGTTTTTTTGGAATTTTTTGAAGCATATGGGTAAAAATATATTTTGTAAACATGTTATATTAAAATTTCAGTGAAGATGTACCATAGAAAAGTGACAATTGTCATAATCGTCATTTATATGTTTTTTTGAAATTTTTTGAAGCTTTTTTTTTAGTTATAGTATATACTACCAATGTACAAAATTTAAAAAAAAATGAAAAGGGTAGGGTTGAAAATTGACTTTTTTGTCGATTTGATATGGAATTCACCATGTATTTTTACCCATTTGCTTCAAAAAATTAAAAAAAAACCTATAAATGACGATTATGACAATTGTCACTTTTCTATGGTACATCTTCACTGAAATTTAAATAAAACATGTTTACAATATAAATTTTTACCCATTTGCTTCAAAAAATTTAAAAAAAACTTAAAAATGACGATTATGACAATTGTCACTTTTCTATGGTACATCTTCACTGAAATTTAAAAAATTCAAAAAATATTAAAAATAACTTATATATAACTCATATAGTTATTTTAATGACAAATTCTCACTTTACTTCTTTTTGTTTATCTTCTCTGATTAGTCGACTAAATTAGTCGTTTTTAGTCGACTAAATTAGTCGCTTTTAGTCGACTAAATTAGTCGCTTTTAGTCGACTAATTAGTCGTTTTAGTCGACTAATTTAGTCGCTAAAGTTTTTAGTCGATTTCCTCGACTACGACTATTAGTCTTAGTCGGAAGAAATCAACTAATTAACAACACTAGTTACTCGTATAAAATTTTTGACCATCGTATTTCTCTTAATGGGCATGTTTAGACCTTAACATTTTATTAACTTTTGTACAATATTAAGAGAAAAATATCCGCTAGATTGCCAAATTAGGGTTTAATTTGGGTTCAGGAATTTTAAACTCTATTTAATGGAAATTTTGTTAACATGATCTTAATAGAAATTCCAAAAATTAATATCCTTCTTTTGGAAATAAAGGATTCCTAACATTACCCAGAAACCGTTTGAAAAAAACGTTATGTATGGAAATTATCTTATTTATTATTGCCTGAACTCTTTACTGATTTAAATATGGAAAATTATAATCTTCAAGAATAGTGGTTAGACATAATCGATTATAATATATATTATTTAAAAAAATAATATCATTTTCATCCATCATATAAAAACTTTTATTAAAAAAAGGATTTATAATTTAAAAATTTTATTAAAAAATATGGATTTAAAATTTTAATATATATTTTTTTAATTTCATTCAAATAAAAATAATAATAATTTTATACTAAATCTCTGAAATAATAAATTCTTATTTCTTATAATTTGTTAACGCCTAGCTGGCACCTAATTAAGGGGTGGGGGGAATAATTTTATTGGTATATAAAATTAATAGTTTTTTTTATTTAATTTTTTTTTTAATAACGAAAATAATCACTCCCTTTTTCCTTTCCTCTTTTTAATAATATATTATTTTTATTTGTTTTCTTGATACTTTAAAATAAATAAGATCAAGAGCTGTTTAAAAAATTTTTTATAAAAAATTGGGGGGGGGGAATTATTTTTTAATCTCTCCCCTTATTTCTTTCTCCCAAAATAAATCTATCTTTATTGGGCTATGCTATTTTAAAAAGTTATAAAAAAGTAAAAAATTTTTGTAAAATTTTTACCATAAGAAATTTTTTTTTAATAAGTACAATATGATTTTGTTAAATATGAAAGAATACATACTCAATATCAATATATAAAATCAATTACAGATAAAATTATTGAAATTTGCACAGAAAATAAAATTTCTGCACTTATGAAATCAGGCACCCGATCATATTGTAAATATATGGTGAATTCCATATCCCTTCAATTTTTCTTAAATTTTGTATACTGGTAGTATATACTATAACTAAGAAAAAAAATTAAATTTTACCTTCCAACACTGTTTACCCGCTAAGATATAGCCTTTTAAAGCGCGGAAAAACGGTACATGAGTCAACCCTAAGAGCCTTTTGATCGAAAAAATGATCTGTATATTAGGTCAGATAAAAAAAGGCAGCCCAAACCTTAGATAGTCCTTTAAAAAACGAAAGCCTTTTGATCGAAAAAATGATCTGTATATTGGGTCAGATAAAAAAAGGCAGCCCAAACCTTAGATAGTCCTTTAAAAAACAACCCATATTTTAGATCGGATAGAAAATATTTTTTTGTTGACAGAATAAAATGACTACAACTTTGGGTTGAAGTCGTAAAAAACGACCCGATGTTTGAGTCTGAGTCGAAAAAAGGACCCAACTATTCGTCTTCTAGTTGATTAAAGTATATAACTCGTATATAAATTATCTATCGATTGATACCTCTAATAACCATATATTTATATACTTTAATAAATTCAATAAGAAATATTAAAATATATGTGTCTGTGCTCAGGGTTCATGCCATAGCTGATTTAGTCGATTTTAGAGCCAAGTGCCAGGTCTGGGTATTTAACAATCAACAATTAACAACACTAATATAAGTAATCGAGTTTCATAAAATTTAAGTTAACCTGAGTTCACGACTCAAATTTATAACTAGTTCATAACTCGAGTTGCGACTTGAGTTAACGACTCAAGCTCACGACTTGAGTTCACGACTCAAGTTCAGAACTCGTGTTATAAAAATGAGTCGACTAATCGACTCAAAACTTGACTCGGTCGAAGTCGGTAGAACTCGACTATTTAACAACACTATATATATGAAAATATAATTTTTTAAGGTAACTTTATTTTAATTAAATTACTTCATTGATTTTTATATTTGAAGTATATGTTTAAAAGGAATGAGTAATATCAAGGAGGGAAAATTTGTTCAATGACAAATATATGTAATTTAGACCTCATTAGTAAAACTCTAGTTTTGTTTTTTGAGTTTATCTTAAGGTAGAGCTATTTGTATTATTATCATTTATAGATTGGATTCTCATATGTGGGAAACTTAATTTTTCAAAAATTGTTCCAATTTTGACTTTTAATTTATCACTATTTCCAACTTTTTAAAACTAATAATGCTTACAGATTGAGCAGTAACATTATGGTACCATTTTTAAAATATGTAAAAAAAACAAACTATTTTGCTTTTTTTGTGCAAGAAAAACGTTTACCAATTTGCATGCTATCAAACATTTCAATTTGTGTAAACTACATTAATTATAGCGATTTTAAAAAGAATCATTTTAGATCAGCAAAAAAAACTTAATGATATTAAATTTCTAAATACATTATTTAGATAATACTCCAAATGCTCTTGTAGAAAGTTGGGTAATTAGTAATTACTCTATTATTGTCACAATAATCGTGGTTTTTCTTGAAAATATAACTCAATTTTGAAGAAAACAGAAATAGATTAACTCGCACCTCAAGGTTTAGCAGATTTTCTTTGGCACTCGTCTGTAGAGTGAACTGAATTAGCCTATTTTTAGTCATTTCCCAACTTAACCTAGCAGTTATGTCCCAACTTCTAGTATGATATTCTATGAATATACAGGTTTCCCATTCAAAAATAATAAAAGTCCCAATCAAAAAAGGAAAAGTGTCAATCAAAGAAGGAAACGGTCGATCAAAAACAAAAAAGGAAAAGAATAAATGTTAATCAAAAAATGAATAGTACCAAAGGCTTAGGAAAAGTGTTAATCAAAAAAAGGAAAATTCTCAAATTAAAAAAAAAATTTATTTCTTAAATTTTTAGTTTTTTTTAATTTTTTTTACCTTAAGTCATTTTTAATCTTTTCTCAATTTTTCTTCTTCTCATTTTTGATCATTTTTTATTGTCTTTTTAACCATAATTTATTTCTCTCCCCTTCTTTTAACAAATTTTTCCCCTTTCTTCATCCTACCATTTATTGACTTTTTATGATTTTTTTCTTATTTTACTTAATTTTTATTTCTTTTTGGCGATCAAATTTTTTTTATTAATATTTTTTGCCTATCAAATTATCACTATAATTGCTGAATTAAATTAAGCGTTTGATTATAATGTACTTTTTTAAAATTAAATAAATTTGAACTATAATATCAAATGATATGTAAATTAATAAATTAATCATATGTATTCTTATTTTAAATTCTAATATTTATACAAGCATTCAATATTTCTGATCAAGTAAATATTTTTTTTTGTAGTATATTCTTTGATCTATGAATAATTAAACTTAAAAATGAGGTAAATATTATAATCTAAAGAATTTCAGTTTTTTTTGTCAATCATTCTATTTGTTGAGTATCTTTAGAAAAAATTATTGTGTTTTGAAAAATAAAATCAGGAAGATATGGTAGTAATGAGGAAAAAGAATATTAATAGTGCAACAAAAGCTTTTAGTTGATGCTTTAAAAAATAGTATCACAAATATAGCATCATGTTTTAAAGTAAACTATAAAACTGACAAATATAAAGTATCCTATCTCAAAAATGGAATAAAATATAATGTACCCAAAGGAGGCTCACTTGCATGCAAGAAATTAAATCAAGTACAAGAAGAATATACATTAAATTATGTAAATTTGAATTACACTTTATCCTTAAAAAAGTTATGTAAAATGATTAAAGAGGGATATGATGCAGAAATATCAAAAAATAAGGTATCAAGGTTACTATCTGGATTTAGGTATCGTTTTTTAAGGATATCACTACATTTCAAATATTGAGATTCGCATAGAATACATCAATTGATTTGTGGGTATAGTCTTGAAAGAAAATCTATCGATGAGAGCAGGTTTTCAATATCAATGAAAGGGTTATATGGTTATTCACAAATAGATATAAAGGCTATTAAAAATGTACGAGGGATAATGACATTAATTTTACTATCATTGTTACTCTCATGATTACAAGAATATTCAGATTCGAGGTTTTTGATGGCCCTTGAAAATCTATACACTTTAGAAACTTTGTAAATGAAATAAAAATCATTTTGAAGAAAGTAATATAATGAATATGATTATTGTGAGGGATAATGTTCTATTTTATCATAACCATACAAATAGAGAATTGATAGAGAGGAGAGGGCATACATTAAAATATTTACCAACATACAGCCCTTATCTAAATCCCATTGAAAATGTGTTTTTTTCATTGAAAGGATTTTGATTAAGATCTAGTAACGAGGAGGAATTAATTCATTTTATAGAGCATGGCGAGGGAGAAATATCTGTGAATGCAAAGAATTGTTTTAGATAGAAACCTATATTCCAAAATGTAGAAGAGGGGAAATTATTAATGATTAATATAAATTTTTGTTTCTTACTATATATACATCGTAATTGTAATGAAATATTTTTACATGCAAAAAATATTAATAAAAAAAATTTGATTGCTAAAGAGAAATAAAAACTAAGTGAAATTTAAAAAATTAAAAAATAAGTAGAAAATAATCATAAAAAGTTAGAAAAAGGAAAAAAGAAATGTTAAAAGTAATATAAAAATAGAGGAGTAAAGAAAAATGACAAGGAAAATAAATAAATTATTTTTAAAAAGATTGATCAAAACGAGAAGGAAAAAAAAATTGTGATAAGATTTAGAGAAATAGAAATTAAAAATGACTCAAAGAGATCGCAAAAAATAATAAGGAAAACCATAAATTAAAAAAAAAATAACCATTTTCCTTTTTGTTGGGCCTTTTCATTTTTAATCGACACTTTTCCTTTTTTAATCGTATTTTTTCCTAAGCCTTTGGGATTTACCTTTTTTGATTGTCACCTTTCATTTTTTTGATTGTCATTTTTCCTTTTTTGATTGTCACTTTTCCTTTTATGATTGGAACTCTTCCTTTTTTGGAAAGGAAACCTTATATATATATTGTGTATAATGAACATACTATACGTTTTCTTAATTATTTTTATTTGTTGTAAATTAAATTAGGTTATGCCTGGGCAGAAGACAAAGAGCACTGTGAAGAATATGGGCGAATGCTACAAGCTGATCCTTCTTGTGTTAGTAATAGAGCCAAAAAAAGAGGATTGCCTCAAGTTTTATTACATATTTTTTTTTAATCATGTCTGCATAGGCCGAGAATTTGTGGACATTCTCAGCCCAGACAAATGAAAAAAATGAAATAAAGAGATCATAGAACAGCGTTTAATTTTTATTTTATTATTGAAAATTGGCTTGGTAAAAATTTTTTTTTACATACAAATATAAAATAAGTGATAATAAAGTCAGATTTAAATCCAACACAAACAAGGTTCATTCAAAATTTTACTATTAATATAATTTTTGGTGCTTTTTAAAGTATATGAAAAACGAAACAGATATTATGAATTTGATAATCAAAACTTAAAATTTATAAATTATTTAATTTCTTTAGAATTGTGCTTTATTGATGCATATCAGTTTTCGAAAGAATTTTTTTATAACGAAATGTCAAATCTGTTATTCCATTATTAGTTTTATACTTTATATTACATATTTAATCTTATTAAAAAACCATAGCTTGGAACATTAGGAGCTGGTAATCATTACGCCGAAATTCAAGTTGTGGAAGAAATATTTGACAAGCATTCTGCGGCAAAAATGGGTATAGAACATGTCGATCAAGTATGCGTTATGATTCATAGTGGAAGTCGTGGTTTTGGTCATCAGGTGGCCACAGGTATTAAATTAGAATTTTCCTATTATTGATTGTGATTAAAAAATGTGGTACCTTTTATCTGTAATCTTTTGTATATTATAATTCACAAAGTTAATAGGTTATTATCGAAATCTTTTCTACATCACATATACTATTTATTACCAAATGATTACAATCTCGTTAAATTACCAAAATGTCACATATTATCAGAATTTTCATCTTATACATATTTTAAAACTAAAAATTATTTGCCAAAACAAATTATTTCCTAAAGCGTTATTCTATATTTACCTATTTTTAACTTATATTATAGCTCTCTTTTAGACAAATATAGCCCTTTTCTAGAAACAATGATTTTTCAAAAACATGGTGTTCTTTTCCTTTGTTAAATGACATTATGTTTCTGAAAAAGGACACTGATTCAATCTATATATTTTTATGTTTTAGATGCTCTGGTCGAAATGGAAAAGGCCATGAAGCGTGACAAGATTGAAGTTAATGATAGACAATTGGCTTGTGCTCGCATCAACTCCACTGAAGGGAAAAATTATCTTAAATCTATGGCCGCTGCCTCTAATTTTGCCTGGGTTAATCGGGCTTCCATGACTTTTTTGTCTAGACAAGTTTAATATTTTCTATATATTTACATTTTTGCTAAAGTAATTTTTATTGACGTATATAAAATAATAACTTGAACATATAGCTTTATTTTTTATTCATAAACCAATAATGAGAAAATATGAAATACAAAATATACTAGCTTCTCTTTTTACATATTAGGCTTTCGCTAAAGTATTTACCTGCACCCCCGATGATCTGGATATGCAAGTAATATACGATGTAAGCCACAATATCGCCAAAATAGAGGAACACTATGTCGACGGAGCTATCAAAACTCTATTAGTGCATAGGAAAGGATCCACAAGAGCGTTTCCACCCCATCATCCACTTATACCAATTGATTACCAAGTTTTAATATGATCAATTTTATGCTTATAGTTTGATTTACGTTTAATTTTAAATATTATTAAGACTATATTTTAGAAATAATAAATATTGGAATCTAAATTTTAGAGGTCAGCAGTAAAGATTATAATATTCCTGTCAGCATAAACATTTGACTTATCATTTATTTATTCGTTTTGTTGCATATTTATCCATTTTAAAATATCATTGATGTTAATATATATAAAAATTTCCAACTCTTCATAAGTTAACAGGGCAACCAGTTTTGATTGGCGGTACAATGGGAACATGTAGCTATGTTTTGACCGGAACAGAAAAGGGTATGCAGGAAACTTTTGGGACTACTTGCCATGGCGCGGTAATAATAGACAGAGAGAGGTCTGCATTGGGCGCGTTTTTAACACAGGCGTTCGCCAGCCCATTGTTTAAAAATTCTTTTTTTATTTATTATTTATAATTATTCTATAAAATTAATTTTTTTAAAAAATAGGAAATAAAGATTAGCAGCATTTTTTATTGGTTTACATACTTTTATATAATTTATTTTATTAATTTGTGGCTTAATGTTGACTAAATTTTTTTTGAATAATGAAAGTTTGATTTTTGAATTTCGGTATCGGTTAATTTAAAGTATCGGCAGGATACATATACTGATTTCTGCCACTAGTTTTAGCCTGATAAGATACATCTATGTTTATATTTTCTATAGACATATAAAATTATTTTAGAGTAGGGCTGTACCAATATTTTTGTCGATATTGAAATGACTAATTATAAATATTTATATCTCAGAATTGGCACAAAATTGGCGGCTAATTTTCATGCGTAAACATCTTGAATTATCGATATAACATTACAACTTGTTATAAACAAAAATAATAGGAAGCATTTAGAATCTGACGATTTAGAATTTGTTCAAAATTGGATCGGTTTCCCGGATCCAAAACCTAGGCGATTTTGTTTGCCACTACCAACCCCTCCTTAAAATGTATTTGTTTGATAATATATTATTAAGTGTTATTAATATTACAAGATGTTTGTATATCAAAAAATTCTCAATATTGTGCCAATTTCGAAGTATACACATTTATAACCATGCCATTTAAATTTCGGCAAAAAATCGGTTTAGCCCTATTTTAAAATTATAACTTTCAATTCATATTTATTATTAATTGAGACAAGCTTATCGGGTATTTTAACTCCTCTCCCTTAATTTATTAGGGAATTGTGAAGATTTTATTATATCTAAATAAATGATTATCTGGAAAAGTTTAGGCATACAAGACGTTGACATTCAGCAATATTTCAGGAAACTTTTTTTTTCATTTTAAGAGTTTTGTGTAAATTTTAAAGGGGTTATCTATTTAAGATTTAAATTTTTTATATACAATAATCACTATATTAGGGTAGGGCTATATCTCGTGCTAAATCGAGAAGAAATTTGGATTACCAATCAGTGCTGGACAAATTGGAAAAGATGGGAATATCAATCAGAGTTGCGTCTCCTAAATTAGTCATGGAAGAAGTTACTTATTTTTTTTTTATTTTCTAAATAAAATTTATATTATTAATCTAAATTTTAGGCTCCGGAATCCTACAAAAACGTAACCGATGTTGTGAACACGTGTAATTTTGTTTATATTTATAATAATACAGAGATGCACTGTTAATTAATCGATATTGGCCTACACCTTCAAAACCGATATTAATGGGCGATACTTAAAAATGCTAATTTATCTTGCTAAATTTAAAAATAAATAGTCTACACTTATACTATTTATAATTAAAAAATTTATAGAAAAATTTTCTGAACCGATGAAAGCAAAGAAAGAAGGTGCCGTTAATCTCTACTTCCTATTTAATTTACTATATAAATTTCATAAATTAGTTATAAATGAAAAATAGATTTATCTTTGTTTTTTTGCCAATAATTAATATACATCATTATTTTTTAGTATCGGTGTTATAGGTCGATACTTTTTAATATCGACATTGGTATCTATATCAAAAAAAGGTGATATCTGTGCATTTCTTTTATAATGTTCTTAATAAATATATAACCCATAGAAAGGTAATTGTTAAATTGTGAAATATTCGATTAGTATTGAATTTTATATTTTCTTTGTAAAGTGATATTATTTATTAAGCAAGACATTTTTTAATTAAAATTTTTAACTCCTATTAATGTTATAATCTTCAAGCTACATTTATATTTAATACAATTAGGCCATGCTGTGGGTATTAGTAAAAAATGCATCAAATTGAGACCAGTTGCTGTTATAAAAGGATGAATTATTCGGAGTGTATTAACGACCTTTTATTTCTTGTTTTATTATATATTAAATTATATGTACGCATATAAATTTAATTTATTTAGTTTACACAAATTAGACAAAATGCAATATGAGACTAAAACATTATAACGCACAAATTCTATTTATGTAAATATTTTATATTTTTTTTTAAAAATATTTTATGACTATTTAATAAATTTGAATATGTTTTTAGAAAATAATAATTTAGATCAATTCCTATCTAATGAATATTCTTCCAGAATAAGTTATAAATATCATTTAAAAATTGTCCCAAATATTCCCACTCGGTAATAATATGTTTTTGAGACTTTTTATGGTTAAATAAATCTTTGATGTAAATTATCCAGCTCATATGACCTTTAGCTTTATGGAGTTTTTTCAAATAGTGTCTATGTAAATCAATTTTTTTGTCCCATTGCCCAGATCTCGAACTCCATGTAAATAAAATTGTAAATGTCAAAAATCCTATTAAAAAGCATTGCACAAGGGTCAAATCTTGTAGTCTATAAGCCAAGTTTCTTAAGATGGTACTATATATATTCTCCTTAATTTTTTTTATTGTAAATATTTTATAGAATATTATAAAACTAAATAAAGAAAAATATTTATATTAATTTGATAAACTCATTGACATAAATAAAGATCTGTAAATTCCGACCTGTTTTAAAAATATTTTAGGGCTCGGTCTGGCCTATTATTTTTTATTAAAATTCGGGCTAGCCGCGCTTAATTATCTTTTTACAGAATAATCTAAGTAAAAATAACATTTTTTCTAAACCTATAAAAATTATTAACCCTCTACTGCGTAATCATATTTGAATACACATACCATTAAAATAGGTATAAATTTTAATTTAATTTTTACAGCTTAATACGCATACTGTATTTAGATACACATATATTTTATTTATTTATATAGTTAATTTTGTCAAAAATGAAAGACCTATTAGGATAAAAATTCGAAAATACGTAGTTAACAACTTTCGAACAGTTGCATTTTTTCCAATTTATAAATTATATCTCTTCTCTTGTACAAATTTTTAAGGAATAGGAATTTAAAAATCCTATTAAATAAAGGTAAAAGAAATGTTTTATATAAAAATATATTGTTAGTTATATTCATTAATAGTGTTAAATTTTAAGGTATGACATGTACACAGATACATAATGCGCACAAATGCCATATGAATTTGGGCTCTTTTGATTATATTTTTTATATTAAATGTTCTTTATTTGCTATCTATAGTTAAAACGTGTCCAGCAGCTATAAATGTTTACAATAAAAATATGGGAGGTGTAGATTTAATGGATACATTGGTTGCTTTATATTGAATTCACATAAGATCACCTAAATGGTATCACCGTATATACTTGACATGATGCTCATAAATTCTTGATTAATGTACAGACGAGATTTTATAGCTTTAAAGTTACCTTAAAAGAGGCCATTATTAACATTTAAAATTTTATGCAGAGATACTCTGTAAATATAACAAAAATATGAACACTAGCTTAAAAAAAACGAATATCAATTGAAACCAAATATAAAGAAAAATCTCGCAGAGGGCCGTTTTATTCTGAGGAAAGAAATACGACAGGATTTAATAGACATTGGCCAAAATATAGTAAAATGGCGCGATGCAAGAACCCTGGGTGTAAATTGGTTACGAAAGTGATTTGTATCAAATGTGGTATATCATTATGTTTTACTTCAAAAAACGATTGAAATGAAAATTATAAATTTGCTTTTATTATATTATTTATCAAATAATAAAAGTATATGCCTTTATTTTGTAATACAATACTTTTTACAGCGTTGTGTATTTAAATATACACTGAATTTTTTTAACGGTTTACTTTATTAAGAGCTCTTTAATGACAAAAATAAATTTTTAAAAAAAAAATTATATCACTTATTGATATATCGCGCAATAGAGGGTTAAGAATTATAATTTCTTATTACAAGGTACAATTTGTTTCATGACAACAAAAAACCAATTTCCAGCATCAAATGATTATCACAACTCATATAGTATTATTGCTTATAATGTTAAACATTTTATAAGCATTAATTATAAAAATAATTTATTTAATATCAATCTATTCGTAAAAGCAAACCTTGTAGGACAAAAATATACATTCACCAGACCTACACTAAAATCAAACAAATATTTTTCCCGAAGCAAAAAGAGGTAAAAGGATTTGATCATTATTTTATAATAAACTTCAAATTAGGCAGCGTAAATCAAATGAAGGTCAAGGAATAATATAGTTAATACAATGGTGAGAAAAATTAATGAAGTAAGAATTAGCACATTGAATTTATAATTAGGGCTGTGCCGATATTAAATATCGTTTCGGCACCGATATTTCCCAAAGATATCGCAGACCGATACCTGTAAAAAACCGATCCGATCTTTTTACTTTTCCTTTTTTGTTATTTTATGTTATGTATATTTATTTTACATTATAATATTTTCTAAATAAAATTTTTTTAAACAATGCAAATGCACAACACCCCTTATATATTTATTTTTTTGATTTTCAGTATTTTAAAAGTTTTTTTATAAAAATAGAAAGGAACACTCAAAGTTTTATTTATTTTAAATATTTTTTTAAATAATAACGCCAATTTTATTATTTATACTTTAAATAAAAGAGTTTTTTAAAATATGATATCTGAATTATGGAAATATTTTATTTAAAAAATCTAATATATTATAATATTAAATATTACAATTTTATAATTCATACTAACATAAAGTGGGTATATTTTTAAATATATTTATTTTATCTATTATAATATAATTTTTTTTATATTATAGAAATAAAAAAATTAAATTAATGCATAATTCGATTTTTTGCTTAAAAAATATTGATTTCTTAATTACATTTGATTCTAAGGGGTGTGGTGAAAAATCAATATAAATATAGGATCGGTATCGGATCGGTGAAAAATATGTGGATCGGCACAGCCCTATTTATAATTAACATTTACAATTTTTTTTTATTGACAAGGTTATTAGTTTTTAACGAAATTAATTTTAAAACGGCTTATGACAATTAATCATCTACATTGTAAGGTCCTCTGTCGCGGAAAAGTGGATGGACAAAGTACTGGAAGTGAATAAAGAATATGTCAAAATCGGAAATACATATTTTGTCTAATTTACGTGTAGTCCTAAGTTAACAGAAGTGATGAGGGGAAAAATGCTGGTGATGACACTCGCAAGGGGAAGAATACTGTGTAGTCACCTGAAGTGGCATGTTGGGATATTGAGAGCTATTAAGGGGTGCACGGCTGCTATAATTTAGCTTGAAATGTAGTATGTTAAGGAAAAGAATAGAAACAGTTATGGCTTTTTAAGAAAAATGTAAAGAAGTGACATGAATCTGGCCGCATTGTTGGTTGGGAGCAGAGTTGTTAAAGTAGCGCGCTATCTTTTTTAGTAGCTATAGCTAATAGCGGTTATTTTTTTTGAAATTATTTAATTTTTTAGCGCGCTTCTTTTAAAAAATATAATGAATGTAAGTATAAGCACGAAAATTTAAATATAATACCATAATTAATTATAATTTTTATGATTTATTATTTAATTTTGAAATTGAAATATATTTTCAATTTGTAATTTATATTTTCAATTTGTATTATAAACCTAAATCACCTGTTAATAATTTAAAATGGCATCGCATATGGATATCCAAATCGTTGAAAGTGATTCAGAGTCATGCAATGATAAAATGGAAGATACCAGGGAAAAAAATGATATTCATAGCAATATTTTCCCATTCTCTAGATTTCAAAAATTTTTTAAGATAAATATTAAAACAAAAACTGGCTTCAAATTTATGTGTTTAAAATGTAAAAAAAATATTTCCTCAAATCAATCCAGTAGCTATAACCTCAAGAAACACCTAAAGGTAAATTATCATTTTTACATAAAATAATAATATTTATTTTAAAAGACTGTTCATGCTAATAGTTTTAAGGAAATTGAACAACATTTAAATAACTTTGGCATAGATGAATCTACATCCAAAAAGACTAATTCCATTCAGACAAAATTAATTACTAATACAAATGCCAATATTTCTCAGAAATTAACTGATAAAGTTATTGTGGATTTTATAATTGATACAGTTCAGCCAATATCCTTGGTTGATAATCCATCATTTACTATGATGATTAAATCACCTGGTACAACTATTTTATGTCGCCAGACAATTGTGAATAAAATACCAAATAAGTTTAAAGTGATGAAAGATGCTTTAATAGTAGAAATATCAGAGATACACAACAATGTATATAAGATTAAATAATCCCTTGCCCTCAAGTGCTAGTGTCGAGAGATTATTTAGTAAAGCAAAACTGATACTTTCTGATCGTCGCCCTAGACTTGGGGATGATAATATTGAAATGATTTTATTATTAAAATTCAACAAATTACCATAAATATTTAAAATTTATTACATAAATTTTTTTATAATCAAAATTAACTATATTTTAATATTTATAAATGTTGATTTTTATATATTATTTACTATACAATTACATTATATGCAAAATAAATAAAAAATTGTTTCTAAATTCTTATAAAAGTAGCTATAGCTACTTTTTTTGACAAATAGATAGCGGTAGCGCGCTACTTTTAAAAGTAGCGATGGTTGGGAGTAGTTGAGAAATGTCTCATTATGCTTAATTTACCTGCGCGTGCAGCAAAAGAATTGATAGAGTTAATTTATTTATGCATTCCTCAAAGGTGAGATATATTTCCAAAAAAAACCTAGGCTAGTGATTTGGCCAAAAATTTGGCTGAGTCGTTTTTTAAGGCAATATAATAGGCCAAGTACCCAGCTAGAGTTAGAAGAATTGATATAGCGATATTTAGTAAAAAATGACAAATTCCAATTCTCAGTTTTGAAGGTTGGAAACTGCTTCATAAAAAAATGGAGCAGGCACGTCGATATTTAACTTTAACACCCCCCCCCCTCCCTTCAATAATTATTTCTAACCCCTTAAAAATATGTAGTTGACTTCTAACCCCCTCCCACCCCTCACTCACAGAACGTTAGAAATGAATTCGGAGCTCGCTGGTCACAAGAG